TGGTGACGGTTATGACGACGATTATAGTACGGTCGTCGTAGTCGGTCATGATCCTGATTACCTGATTTTGTTGGACCAATAGGTGAGGGGCTTTGGTAGTTGATTTGTGATTGGATCGTTGTTTTGCCGTTGCTGTTTAGTAGGAGCTAATCGTTGTTGGCACACCTAGTCTACCCGAACGCGGGTTTAAGCATTTAGGGTTACTGGCCTGCATTTTCTTCAAGTCATACTATGGATTCTTCGCTCGACTATACTGAAAACATGGGTTTTAAATGAGGGATAAGTTCTGACCGTTCTCGTCGCAAGTAGCAGGTGCTTTGTGCTCTCACTTCCCAGGTTCTTTGATATTTTGTTGTTACTTAGACTGCTCCTTTTGGGAATTTGTCTTTTCCTTCAACCACCCAACAAAATGGTGACCTATTTCCACACAGTACTTTTTGTGCGTAGCCAGCTTTTTGTGTTTTTTAAGCATTATCAAGCTTGCGCTAGATTGTTGCACCAAATACTTATAAGGTAATAATTGTTTATACATCTGCGCGTTCTCCTGTTATGTTTTAGTCTACTACAGGTAGTCCTGTAGGCCCTAAATTTTTTACTTTTGTGCGGTCCGTCCATTTCACGTACAGTACGTTACCAAGCTCCCGCGATGCGTTTTAGATTGGTAATACTTACTTAAGTTAAATGGTAATATTTATTATCCGGGCGCATAATCTAATGATCTTTCAGACACGCCGGGATGCAGGCTTTTGAACAAGCCCCTTTTTATGGTCGCCTACAAAAGCAACACCTAAAAAAGACTGTTTAAGTCATGTGCATATTTTATGTAGATTTTCAGTGCCCTTGAACACTCAAACGGCAGCGGAAGTTTGTTTTTTGCACTCATTTGATAGCATGCCACGTCTTCTTAAACAGGTTTTCTCAAGGGAAAGGTGTTTTTGGTTTTAAAAAAATTTTCCGATTACTGAACAGTTTTGAGCCCGATCTTGCCTTGCATTTGCTCCTAGAATTTTCAGTCTGCCAGCTGTATGCTTTTCACGCAAGGAATAGTATACATTCCTCCATTCTATTAAGGAAATTCCATAAACTGCTTATGAAATTATGCGGTGATGTGGGCTATGTCTGGCTAGTTCATAGCAGACATTAATTAACGAACATTCATGATGCGATCTGAATGGAAATTGTACGGTCGTAAAAGAATCCTGTAGTAAAAACTGTTTTCAATCCGAAAGGTTGTCTTTATCCGAGTATAAATGTGAAGAAGATGTGATTATCTATCATATGCCGCTATATGCTTCCGTGGAAGTAGTATTATGCATTCCTGTAGGTCATTAAGAAGATTAAAAACAGTTCTTATATAATTGCGCAATAGATATAGACTATACTGTGTGCGATTTTAAAGAATATTTTACAGTCAATGAGAAACATTCTAGAACCAAAGTTGACCTTTATCCTAGTAAAAAATCGGAATACGTGATTTGTTGTCAAATTAGTACAAGAATAAGTTTTACTTAGGTTTTCTATGGAATATATTTGAATTTATAAGAACATCGAACATCTACAATGAAATAAGCTCGCTAATTCGGTAAGGATTTTTTCAAAAAAGGTTTTTCAGGAGGTCGAAAAGATTAACGTTCAAAAGCCGGTATCCTGATATGTCTCAAATATCGCGGGATTATGCTCCATGCTAATAAACATTACAATTCCACCGAAGTATTCATTCCTAAGCTAAAACCTAAATCTAAATCTAAAACTATTTTAGTTAACATCGCGTGAGATCGGTCAGCAACTGGTTGGGTAAATTTGGCGGGTTCTCCCATCCGGTGCATAGTAATAGTCACGCAGACAATTTACGTACTACATTACATCTACCACTTTTTATTTAGTAAATTGCGCATTTACTCCTTCGATTTTTTGTGCAGAATTAGGTAGTTGGAGTCCTTTTCGAGGGGCAGAAAAGCAATCGGGTAGATTGGAGTAGGTTGATCAACCTGCCACCGCTGCTAATCTCATTTGCAGGCAGACTTTGAGCCGACTTTGATATGATCGGCCCATACATGACACTTGCGTTAAGTGGTAACTTCACGCCATAGCGAGCGCTGCGCACAATTTTAACTCCAGTCCACTTGCATCTCACAGGCCACTCATGTGTACGAGAGGAAGATAGGAATGCGGTAGATCCACCTCAGGTCCGGCTGATCATGTAAACCTTTTCCTGTTGCATGCCAGTTCACAAGCTGTAACAGCTTTCAAGCCTGCGCACGTTCCATTGACCTCCAGGAACGACAAAAACTGCAGGCTTGTCACGCGTTTCTCGTACCGCCGGTCAGGTAGAATTATCCTGGCTGCTCTTTTTACTTGTGAGACTGAATCCACATATGTGGTGAACCAGTGAAGCCTTCACAACGTTGTGGCAAGACATCCCAAAGAAACCAATAAGTATCTCCTATCTCTGACCTGATTGGTAGTTACAAGAAATAAACAAACTAAAACTAAAGATAGGAAATGTTAAGTCTATCGTTGTGTTGCCTGAAATAAATTAATGTTAGATGCAAATTCTAAGAAGGTGTCAGTTTCGCAAGTCAAACATTTAATTTTGCGGTCCATAGCAAAGATCGCGTTTAAGTGATTATATGAATAAAAGAAATGGATGCAGTGTATCCTCTATCGTTTTTGTGTTCTTACTGCCCTTGGTATGCTTATGTTACACTTAGGCGATCGCCGGTGACGTATTTAGAAGCGTCACGTGATTTTTCTCGCATTGTGTAGGTTTTTGTCCTTGATTTGAACTTTATTCTACTATTACTGTTGTATACATTCCTGTCTGATACTATAAATGCTGGGATATATCTCCAACCAGTTTCCTACCACTCGTTCTGTTCTCCAGTTAAATGTCTTCTGAAAATCAGGCACGACATTTTTCGTCTAAATTTGCACCAAAGTCGAGTTGACAGTGGTCACTTGCTAATATAGTAGACGTAGTTGATCATGCAATATTTCGACATATGCGAAAGACTAATTCTCTTTCGCTAATCGGAATTGACTCCAGTTGTGATACTGATTATCGTGTATTGTATTCTGAAGTCATTTCAGGCAAGATAGAAAGCCGGCTTTTTAACGAGCTTCGTTCCGACTCCTAGCAAAACGTATATAGGATGCCGGCTTTTTAAAGAGATTCGTTCCGACTCCTAGCAAAACGTATTCTTGGAAGCCGGCTTTTTAACGAGCTTCGTTTCGACTCCTAGCAAAACGTATCTATTGTAACCGGCTTTTTAACGAGCTTCGTTCCGACTCCTAGCAAAACGTATCTATTGTAATTTTTAACGAGCTTCGTTCCGACTCCTAGCAAAACGTATCTATTGTAAAAACAGACTACTTATGTAGTACGCCTTTTTGTCATTGATTTTGACTGCATTTATAAATTCAAATATATTTTGTGGAAAATATGCACGAGAAAATTATTTTTTGTACCTGTTTGATAGCAAATTACGCGTTCT